ATTTCAGTTCAAAGAGCAATTATAACATATGCAGCATTTGTTTACCCTTGAAGAAGTCTTGTTGGTATGGTTTTACTAGTAGACTAAGAATCTCACCTATACTAAAATTATTCATATACTGATGTATACTCTCATTTTTAGCTTTTTCTTCTATGGTTGACACGGCCTTTTTGATGACCTCTCAACAACCTTCTCATAAAACCAGTTTGCAATTTAGCAACTACAAAATAATTTCAAGTTAAGTCTGTTTTTATTCTTTTCAATATTTTAGCAACTATTATGCTAAGTGTCTGCACTGAAATTTGTCTCTCAGAGTCCTAATTTATATTGCTTCTCACCTAGCATAACTCTCTGCCCTATCTAAATAATTTAAGAATAAATTGTTTCTGCATGAGACTAAAGACATTCACAGAAATTAGCAGCCTAATTTCTAAGATACAGAAAAAGCAACATTTTAAATTACTACTGTTCATAGAAGTACCACAGAAATGCCTACCAAAGGTTTAATAAACAGAACCACAATGAAAAAACAGTAAGTAATAACAAGAGTTGGCTGTAGAGGGCTATTTAAATGAGTACTCTTCATGTATTTAAAGCCATCCACCATCTTGATGAGAATTGCTGCCTCCTACAAAACCACAAAACATGTTGGGTTCTCTTGTCTAACTGTTATTCTTTTGAGGTTTTCAGCTGCATAGACTGAGTGATCCAGTGTACATTGGTAAAATTTGTATTTCAGTCTGATATCAAACACCTGATAGCAGGCTTTCTCGTACAACCTACTTGAATAAAAATAAACAAAGCCAATTTTAATAACTTACTTGCAAACAAAAGGAGTTAGGAATCCTAATAAGCAACGTAAGCGTCATCTCACAAGAACATCTGATCAGCACTGCACAGACAGATATGAGACCTCTATCCTGTAACTGCTTGTTGGGTAAGAGTTTGTCCTCAGGGAAGAATGGGCATGTTCAATAGAAATGAACTACTCCTTCTAAGGCATTACCAATATCCACATTGTATTCTGGCAGTGAAAACTTAACACAGTTACTGAATTTACTTATCAAAAAACCACTGTGAACAGAGCACTATGTACAGAAAAGATTAAGATTACAGTCTCCAGGTATCAACCATATGAGGCTTCATGCAGTTACTGACAGGCCTCAGCAAATAACTGTCACCATTTTACACCCACACAAGAGAAAGCTTTTAATGTCACATACCGATTTCTTTTTAATGTCCTCCAGATCTTTGAGTTCATTCTCAATCTTTGTGATTAACTCCCTGAGTTCATCAAGATTAGTGCAAATAAGCTAAAAAACAAATGAACACAAACACTTGGTAATATGGGACTTGTAAAATGTACAATGAAGTTAAATAAAATCTAAAAGCACATGTTATTACTTAGTGCCACCATTTGATTTTTATTTTCTTATAGCATTTTTAAATGTAAAAAAATAGAACTTCTTGAAAGCAAGAAAATCTAATATGAAAATACTTCACTCTTCAGACATAAACCATATGTCCGCCTGTAAGCTTCCACTTCAAAATGCAGGCATTTTCTCACAACTTCTGTGAATGACAATCACCAAATTTGTCTCAAGTATAGTAATGAGTTGGAATAGGTTTGAGTACCAAACAACTCCCTGGTGAATTAAAGTGTACTAGCTTTGGACTACACTGTGGTTACAACATAATTACACTTGTTACAACCGAACATAACTTTGTATGTTTACACAGAAATATAACCTAGCCATGTCTTACCAAATCTACCTACCTATCTATGTTTTGAAAAAGTATTATATTCTTTTTATTCCTGTCTTTAGAAAACAGCCTTTTACATTGTTCCTTTCAGAATACAGATGTTATTTTCTTGAAAAAATCATCTAACAAAAGTGATCTGTATGTTTTGGCTTACCATCATTTAGGGCAATTAAAAACTTAATAAATGGGAAATTATTAAGCTGATAGGTTCTTTCAGGTTATCATTATGTTAAGACTTGCTTCCTTCTGAATAGCCTTAGGTGGAACTTTTTTCATTACTACTGAAAACACATTGAAATAATTTAAGAAAGGAAAATCCAAACAGAAAAAAAAAAAAACAACACAAAAACGCTTTTATCATACAACTGCTCATTTGTAATTTTTTTTCCCAAATCAGTAATTTCTAACAATATATTTTTACTTCAATTTCACATGAACTTCCAGATTTGCAGCAGATTGATATTAAAACTCCCCTTTGTTTCACTGTTAGAACACAGAACTGACACTTTTAGCAAAAATACACACGTTTAAAAAACCTCTAATGCATACTTGCCATTATTTTCTTAACGCTTGTGTGCATTTGAGAGCTTTGGGGAACTAAAGTTCCCAGTGTTCGCATTTATTAAGTTTAAGATAGCAAATGAATAAGGAAATAGGCACTGTCTTGCTGTAGACAATGTATGTAAAATTAACTTGCAAAAGGTTTCTCTCTTAACCCAGAAAATGTAACTCTACTAGGTTCAACATGCATGTCTGTCCTGTACTTAGTTCCAAATACATATGATGTAAACTGGAAGCCAAATACCAGCTTCTCTTTTTCCCATCTGGCCTGCAAAGAAATCTATGAAACTGTGTATTATTGTACCTTTTTGGTGCAAGTTTGCCACATCAAGCCCTTGACAAAGTCAATGAAGGCACAGATAAAGATTATCCATACACAATTATAATCCACTCCTTTGACTATATACCTGACAATTCAGTTTTTAAATTTTATCACTGCTTTCTATTGTCTCCTATGAGACACGTCTAATTTGGTGTACCACAGATCAGAGATAAAGCAGAACTATGAACCAAAGAAAGATACTGTTTTCATTTGCTAGAAGTGGGTGAATTTCTCTCCAGAAACTCACTACTATAAAGGCAAGAGTTTGCAAGGAAAAGGATGATTTCACTATTGTTAGTTGAATGCTGTCCTGGAAATACCAAGTCTATCTTTAACTCTACCATATAAAGTTCCTACATGTCATCAGACAGTTCATATAGACAAACTTTTCACAGGTCCCAGTCCTGTTTGTCATTTTCAGAACAGTCACTTTGAGACGTAAGGATCCAACTTGCAAAATTGTTAGTGTACACCAATTCAAACTACATCAATGGCAAAACCAATGCAAATACATAAATGTTCAGTTGTCTTGGGGCTGGGGGTGATAGCAAAGAGTAATCAAATCTCTAAGTCCCAAATTTCATCAGAAGAGGTGTACATTTGAGGCTAGTATCTGTGTGTCAGTTACCCACTGGTAAAACAAGGAAGGTAACAGCAGCACAGCTTAGAGGATTTACTGTCAAAATTAGTTTAGTATTTGAAATACTCCAATACTGCACTGAAAACAATTACAAAAAGGTTCAAGAAAAAACTGTGTTTCTTAACTTACAGCAGGATTTGAGATGAGGTACTAAAGATGCACACTGATTGGGAAGAAGCTATTTCTGAAACATCTCTCACTTGGTTAACATTTCCCATCTTACAGAATGAAGCCAGAATTTTGAAGGAAATATGAAAAGAACAGTAATAAAACAGTATAGTGTATTTTCTATGATATGGAATCTAGCTGCTATGTTTCATAATTAGACTCTAATGTATGTTTCAGAGTTCATTGTTCATGGTTGTTCACTGGCTGAACTTAGCAATTCAATTTTCTGCAAACAACACTGCCTTTCTAAACTGTTTTGTATGTTTTAACAGGTAAGTTAAGGTCACGGCAAAAAGAAAGGTATTAATGTTACAACCTAATAATTCTGTCACATCCCAATAGCTCACTGGTAGTCTCACATAATGCTTTTGCAGAACATGCCTTCTAACCACCTATCAAGAGAAATCTGAAGAGAAAAAAAAAAGGTTTTTATGACTTATCAAAGGTAGTGAAAAATTGGTCCCTATTCTCTAGAACACCACATGTTAACTTAAAGATTCAAGTTGTAAATATTTCCGTTAATGTACAAGTCATGTAGTTAGTTATATACATGTTAACTACAACACAGACATTTTCACATCAGAGTACTTACTACATATGGGCTTAATTTTCATAGGTACTAAGTATCCTGTTTTTCAACTGAATACAATGGAAGCTCCAGGTATTCAGTATTTCAGTAAGTTTTCAAATTCAGTGTTCAACTTTCCTGTTAAAATACAATCTCAGATCTCAGTAATCTCTCAAAGACCCTCACTGACTCCTAGAACTTCAAGAAGGAGAATCAGGAAGTCTCTGATTTTTCTAAGTAAAGACAAGGGGACCAAGCTCTATTCCAACTTGGGACTCTCCCGTGATCCATTTCTCAGAATCTGTAAATGAACTGTTTATCATTATAAAACAAATCTAATCTGTGGATCTATTCATAATACAAACCTAGTGTACTCCCCCAGATCACTGTTGCTCTCTCCCTGCCCCCTCAACTTTTAGCATAATTTTTTTTACTTACTTCAGTAGGCTCTTGTGCCTAATTTCATGTTACCTGTGTAATGACTGTAAGTTATACTTTTATTTCCTATGAACCTGCTCTTTTATTGCTGCCTTCTCTATGTGAAAATACCAATAGCCCCCTTTTGAGATCTGTACTTAACATAGACTATAGCTGTTAAAATTGAAACTGTTAGGACACAGTTAAACAGAAAAGCTAAAGTTAGCCCAGTTCCTTAAAATGTGTGTATTCCTTTTTTCCTTAGTTACAGTGCATGTAGGTCTATACAGTTACATGTGTATATAGGTGAGAGGAAAGGAGGAAAGACTATGACAAAGCACTTGTTACCAAACTTAACATACTTTGTAACTGGAAAAGAAACCCAAAAGCCCCACATTAGTATCCCTTCTGTACAGCAATATAATTACTGTCATTTCTTTAAAACATTAATGAGCAACAGTAGTAAGAAGCTTGGAACTCAGAATTTCTTTCAAAAGGAAATATGCAACAGACAACTAACTCATGATCTGTGAAGCTGTGAACTCACTTCTCAAATCATCTCCAAAACATTAAAAACAGAACATGTGTGTTGTGTCTTTTTATTTGGTAAAGAGAATTTAATTTGCATCGGATTTTGTTTTGGGTTTGTTTTTTGTTTTGTTGGTTTTGGTTTGTTTGGGTTTTTTTTTAAAGCAGCCTTGAACTAAGAAATTAATGTAAGGTCTGAAGGACATATAAGGAAAGAAATATGTTCGCTGACCTATGCTTTCACTGCTTTGTCCATGACATTCAAACCATGATAGAGAGCAGAAAATCTGTGCAGTATCTTTCCTCCAAAGGTTGTTCAAAAATGGCACTATAAAGGTTAGGATTAAGTAGTACATCTACCTCTAAATTTTTTTGTTATTAATTTCTTTTAATGTATAACTTTGGTCACTGCACAGTTTAAAATATTAATTAATAATGATTTTCTCAGCTTTAATTTCAAGTTATGATTTTCAGGTAAAGGATCTACACTTAAGTACAGGATCTAGTCTTACGAAATAAAGTGCCTTACGGCTTTTTAAAAAATTTATTTATTTTACATTTTAGGCTACGGGCACATAAAGCATCTCTTACAGATTTTCATTTATTTACTTTCTTTCCAAAAGAACTTATGTTTAGATATGAAAGGCAATATTATTATGGTTATACCCTCCCTGGCATACCTCACAGGGCCTGTATACACTCAAGCTGTCTTAAAAACATTTAAAAAAAATAACAGTCTCACGTTCAAACAATTACAATTTCATTAAGTTTGGCCATCCATGGATGTGGAACAGAGTACCTTGAAGCATACTCTACTAGGCTCTAAAAGTCTTAGCAGTATTCCAACTATAAATGTTTTAATATTTGCAAATACTTCTAACAGTCATACTAAGCCTGCCTGTCGTCTTGAAAAAGGCAGGTTAAATAGTGAAAAAGTTCCCTAATAAGATTAAACTGCTCACACTAATTGATCTTAGCTTCACCAAAACCAGATATAGAGCCTAGTTTTGATCAAAAGAGACAGAATTATTTTGCTACATTTTAATAAACCTTTTACATAGTATATGTTATAAAGTTAATTTTACACTTGGATAGATAGGTAAATGTACCGTTTACTTTCATTAGATAAAAAGTTGTTCTAAGTTTTAGACAGACTGCTTAAATGCAGTAGTTTAATACCACAGAAAATAATTTCTAACCTTACCATGTACATCCACAGCATGCAGGTCACGTGCTGGGAAAAACAAAATTCCTAGACACTGCACTTATTTTTTGGAGTTGCTAGAAAACATTTTAGTCACTACTACTAGAATATAGACAGACGATGGTCAGTGTACACTTAAATATCAGTCTCTTCTCAGTATTGAGTATTACTAACCAATTTTATCACCAAAAATTCTACTAGCTCCACCTGAAACACATCATCATCATGGCATGAACTGATTCATTGTGAGGGTTTTACAGAATAGCCATGATTTAATGTTCATCTATTGCTCAGAATAGCACAGATCACTTTCTGAAAAAAAAAAAAAAAAAACCCAAACAAAAACCCGACAATCAAAGAAGAACTTCAGTCCAAGCAGGCATGCATACAGAATTGTGACTTAGAACTGAAGTACTGTAACTTGTGTTACAGTACCATAAAACCACATTATCATAATCTGCACTCTTTACTTATTGCTCTCTGGTCTAAGGGTCATGTGCAAATAAGAGGTAAAAGTTGCAAACAAGAGGAGCGCAGGAGCCTACAAATATTTTGCAAGTCCTTCAGTAAATCAGGCTAGATTTAAATTCAAGGACCACAGTATCACACCTCATACAAAACCCAAGTAGTTTTATCCCAGAAAATTATATCTACCTTAATTTCATGAACACCAGTTTTTACAGGTTTTAATTTGTAACAGATTTATCTGGGATCTCAAACAATACTGTGAAACAGTGTGTGAGCTGCACATAATAAAAACCACTAAAACATTCTTTACCAAGAAAAGGTGAAACGTACTTTAAAAACCACTATCAGATTAAACCTTTGGAACCACAGGAAGGAAATTAATCTTTGATTAGGATTTCCAAGGTCTCTATCAGAAACTAAAGGACTTATTTTACAGACATTCAGAATTCAAGTACATAAAACAAAAATAAAAATAATTTACCTGAAATTCTGGTATGGTAGACTTTGTGACACCTTTCCTCTTCTTTGTGATTGCTTTTTTAGATATCGATTTTTTTCCTTGTAAGATTAAAAAAGAAAAGCTTCATAATGCTGTTTGTTCTACTTCATTAATAAAACCAAATTACAGACAAACTTGAAAGTTAAACTATAACTAACAGATGGTTGACAGTAACTCATGTAAACATGATGAACCAGAACTAGACTCAGTAAAAGCAAACATTAAACTAGCATCTATGTAGGGCAGTCTTTTTGAGGGGGAAAAGAAAAAAAGAAAAAAAGGAAAAAAAAAAAAAAGAAAAAAGAACAAACCCACTACAATGCCCACAATGTACCATCCAAAAATCTCAGTCATAAAAGAAACATTCACACTACTGTTCTGAAAGGAATGAAATCCAAAACTTATGTCACAAACTTCAGAAATATAGCATCTTACCTGCAAGACTGGTTCTCTGACACAGCAAAGTGAACCACACATCAGGGTCTAGAACCTCCGTATCTTATAGTAAAAAATACCCTCAAAACACAAGCAGTATCTAGAAATCCCTGAGTGAACATACTGAAGTTAATGAAATCAGATTACTGATTTGTTTTTTCTGGCCATGGCAAAACCTAACATTTTAGAGGAAAGCAAACACATTCCTATAATGTCCATCACACCCTGCTGGGCTATATAAGAACATGGATGTAACCAAAAGCCTCCTTGAATGTAAGGCAAGTGTTTTACTACCTATAGTATCTGGGTTCGTAAGTCACACACATTCTCAAATCAAGTAGTTATGACACCATGCCTTATATGAAGGATAATGGAGTTTCTTATATGGTTATTTCTACATTCATACAGTAAACTGAAACAGCGCACTTGTGACTTGTCCATTAAGACCAAAACCACCACTCTAAGATTACTACTGTGCTCACATTCAGGAGTCCTAAACAATAATTTAAACCCATAAAATAAAATAAAATTTTAAAAATGAAATAAAATTTAAAAATAAAAAACAATTAAAAATAATTAAAAAGTAAAAATAATACAAAGTATGTGGAATTCATTGTCAAATAGAATCACTACAGGCACTTGGTAATATCACAAACACAGCAGATTTCACATTAATACTAATGAAAATATTGGCAGGAATGGCATTTAATTTTTTCCTAACAGATGCCTGCCTCTGCATGCAAATGTTTATGTACACATACATACACCTATTCATAGATGCCTAGGCATCTATATTTTCAGTTTATTACACTATCCTATCTCCAGTTTATTACACTCTGAGTTTCCTGAACATCTTGCCTGAAACTGAAATTAAACACATTTAAGAGACTGGGCACAGAGCTCAAAGGATCTAGATTTGAAACTCCACATAAAAATCAAACCATATAAAAATCAATAAATCCACGCAGATTTGAAACTCCACAAACTGAACACATAACAAAACTTAAAAAGCCCTCAACTATGAAAAATAAACACTCCCAGATTTCACATTACAGAACAAGGGATAAAACAGAAAAGGATGTTTATTAGAACAATGACCGAAATGTTTTGACAGTGGGCAAAAAAGCCAGCATTTTTGTTATATATTTTCTGAATCAAACTGCATTCAAAACATAACTGCCACTATCGGGACCAGTGCTGTCCATTTAATGGACCAAACCCAACATCTAGTATAAGCTTTCTCGATAAGCTAACTCAAAAAGAAGTCTGGTCATATGGCGGCTCCTTGCTATAGCCCTGTAAAAGAATGTTATCTGGGAAGAATGAAGGGATAAAAACATGGGACAGCTAGACTGCGTTGCTTCTTTACAAAAAGAAAGATTTGAATATGATTAAAATGACAGTTTTAATTTTATTTCAGTATTTTCAACACACTTTTCAGCAAATATGTACTTGAATATTTTCAGCATCAGGTGCTGTACGATGCAGCGTACTTCAAAAAAAAAAAAAAAAAAAGAGAGTTAATAGAAATGTACTCTCTTTTCCCCAATATTTCCTTCTGAAAAAGGGTGGAAAAGTTGTTGAGAAGAATTCTAATTAATTACCAAAAAATAAAGTAAGTATTTCTTCCTTTGCAACAGCATCTGAAAAGCCTGCAGTAGGGAAGATATGACACAATAATAATTATTGTCAGTAATAGACACAAAAAGAATTAAAAAAAACCTGACTAGAAGCACAAGGAAAATGAGCCTTACCTTCTGTGTAAACTGAACCAAGGAAAAAAAAGTCATTGAAAACAGAGTATGACATATGGGTTATCACAAAGCCTACTAGAATATACATACCATAAGAGTTACACAATTCCCAGGCTGACATCTGCTATGAACTAAGAGCATATCTGTACAGAGCTTTCCCACTTTGTGACTATACACACTAGATGTCCTATGGTGCAGGCACATATCACATCTCAAAAAATAAGAAAACACTACAGATGGGACACATACTGGGAAAGCATTAACATCTATGGCAAACTAACTTTGGCAAACTCATCTTCTACCTTAATAACATCCTTATAAAATATCAAACTGAAATTCAAAAGAAGTTACAGCAATATTACTGATAATCTCTCTCTTTTTTTAAAAAGTTAAAGGAAAACACACATTTAGTATTCCTGCAACAACGCAGCTGCAGCTGTGTCCAGTTTCCAAATTGACATTAGTACTGAAAGTCAAGTACCTTACCTTTAAGCAGAAAAATCTTTGGATAAAATTAACCAAGGATCAGATTACCACAATAAAAACCTACCAAGATCTGCTACTTTAGATTCTCAGATGAGAAGCTGACACATTCAGCAAAACCAACCGCAATGGTAAGGGATGTCAGCCTCTAGTAGCTACCTGCTACTGGCCCTGCTGCATGTAGCACAACCATGCCAGCACAGAGCAGTCACTTAGCTTTGACTGCCAGACTGAGGTGGGCACAGGTTCTATGTGGAGGGTAAAATCACTAAGGGGTTGAACAGGCATCAGCTGCGAGCGGCAGCTTCTCAACCACTCCACTGAGGTCTGCTAGAGCTCCTTTGCCCCAATCCTAGTTAGAGAGACTGTTTAAAATGCTTAAATTACTTCAGCAGATGAAGTAACACTTCTGACATCAGCTAGATGCATTTTGAATCACAGCACACTGTACCTTTCAGAGCATACTCAATACACAAATATATTTAACTGCTGACTGAAAGCAATCAAGAGTTACAAAACCACACCTAAGAAATAATGAAGAAAAAAATATTTCTAATAAGGGAGTTCATATGTATTCTCTCTTCAGGTCACCTATTCCAATTCAGCACACGCTGCTTGCTTCCCACCTTTCAGTCCCCAGCTTTTACTAGCCATAATTTATAAACCACTTAACAAGAGTTCTACACATAGACAAAATAATAAAGTGATTTCAGTACAAAAATTCTCGGAGGTAGAAGGGAGAATAGCTGCTCAATAAATAAAATTTCCATCTTTAGAAGTCTTCAAGTCACAGTCGACCTGATCTGGCATTTGTGACAATCCTGCTTCAAACAAGCAATTAGACTAGGTGACCTCCAGGTGTTCCTTCCAACCAGCTTTTCAATGGTTCTGTGACTCTTTAAAAGACTGCCTTGCACAGTATACACATATTATTAACAAATACATAGGAATCAGTAACTCAGGACTGTACTTCACAGAAGGAAGATCAGGTAACACTTCTGTCCAATCAATTTCTTTAACCCTTCTCCCTAATAATGTAAGAATAAAATGAGAAAAACACTTTCCATCAAAACAAATTAAGAGTTTCTCAAACTGAAACAATAATAAAGAAAACAATGATCTTCAAAAAGCTAAAGAGGCTTTCTCCTTCAATAGTTGCAACTAGATAAAAGCTGTTGTTAAGCCTACCATCTTGAGGCACTAACAGTGGCCTCTCTATCCAGCAACAGCTACAACACTAAATTATGCTTTAAAGAGTAGAGAAACACTTACTTGGACAAGTATTTGATAAAAGTTTTATAAACACTGATAAATAAAGATTAATTTATTCTTGTTTCTGTTTTCACTATAAGGAAATACCTGTAATAAAGATTAAAGTTTTACTTCCTTTTGATATAAAGTTCTATTTCAAATATAGTCAACATTCCCTTGGGGGGGGGGGGGAAATCTTTATTCCCCCTTGTCAGAATTCTAAAATAACATTACTGAATTAAAAAAGAAATGCTTTGTATTCAAGCATTTCTTTTTTAATTCAGTAAACTAAATTCAACTATACTGGAAATCTACTTTGCTGCAAATGGAACTGTTCTAAAGCTAGGAAATGTCAGCCTGTATTACTCCTGTGTAACCTTACATTCATCCACTAACACGATTTTACTGTGCCACAATTACTAATTATGTCTCCACACTGCCTTTTCCAAGAGGCTCCACATCTCAGTTAGGTTTCAGTTCAGAGCAGAAGAGACTAGAAGACACCTTACCTTGGACAGAAGTTGTTACTATCATCTTTTTTCTCCTCCCACGCTGCATGAGAGGATCAGCTCTTTTTATACTGCCTTCAATATTGACAGAGAGCTAAGCCATTCCTGAGATGAGGGAGAGGACAACTACAGACACTCAAGGCAAGAGCCCTTTCATGTTCAGTGGACGAACCAGGACTGTGCAACAAATAGAGTCCTTTTCATTCTCTACCAGAGAATACAGGGAAAATAGACAATCACTTAATTCTTCAAGCAAACTACAACAAATCTTACCCTAAATTAAACCATAACTCAGTTATCTGTGGATATAAATCAAAACTCTTTATTGATTTGAGGTAATACTTCTCTTCAATAACATGCTACCAACCTATACCTAGAGCTGCTAGCATCAGAGTCAAAAGGCTCAATTTGCACATTTCCTGACTTTACCTGCTGAAACAACCACTTGGATATTAAACTGAAACTAGAACACTGACAAAATGCATACAATTGACAGTAAAGGACAGTGCAGTTGTGTACCATTTTAGCTATCACGCAATTGGTTTTTTTGAATGAAAACAATCTCCATCTTACAAAAAAGGAATGCAGTAAAATACAGGTTTTCCACAGTAAACTTACTTGAGCAAG